CTTGGACTAGATGCTATAATAATCCTTTTTAAGATTTATGTATTTACTTGGCTTTTTGGCAAAATATTTATTATCGGTTATGTACCACACGTGCTAAAATAGAGTGAAGTTCGAAGACTAAACAGACTTGGTTGTAATCCTGGTTGCCCTCTCTACTAGCTGCATGACCTGGATTAGTTTACTGAACGTTTCTGAGCCTCGGTTGCTTCATCTGTAATAATGGAATAGCATGATCTCACAGGGTGCTTGAGAGAATTACATCAGATAACATACAGTGCAAGGCACATAGTAGAAATACAATGTATTTGTTTTCTCCTTTATTTCCTGGATCATCCATCTGATTTCATCTTGAGTAATCAACCAAAATTAGGATCTAATTTATGACCTTACTAGCTCATTTGATCTCATGTGATCTAATGTGGTACTTCAACATCTGCAAAGTAAAAATGACAATACCTACCTCACAGGTCGTTATGAGTTTGAAATGAGCTAGTTTAGGTCATGTTTCAGGTACATGAGTTGTTTTCAATAACTCCTTGTTCCTTTCTCCTCCTGCCACCATCCCCCTCACTTCCTCTAGATCAAGCATTCTTAATGAGCGTGATATTGCTCCCAAGGGGGTGAAAACTGTTTCCCGGATAAGGAAAAAAACTTACTATTTTTATGTGTGAAGCACAGATACACATAGTCCGTAAACAGACATACAGTACATCTGTAGTATTAAATTTTTATGAGGGATGAGACGACTAGAAAAAAAAATGTCTAAAAAGATTCCTAGGGTTTGGGGTACAGAGATAGTGGGGAAAAGATTCAGAGGCATTGCTCATTGCATCAATATGGAATGTATCCATAAGACCATTACCAGAATTTGAGTACTTCTGAGGAGCTAAGTGCCAGTGGCTAGTAGATCCTCTCTAATGCCTTTTGTTCAACCACAGAGGTGAGTTTTCCATTTTACCTCCAGTGATTGCTATATTGGTTATTTATCTAAACTGCCCCCACTTTTTTGACCCACTTATGTTATCGAACTCCAGATCCACCAAATATGAGAAAAGTAGAGAGATTAATGAATTTGTTTGGGTTGGAATTCCAGAAAGTGCTCTTTTGGCATGTCTTAAAATAACGTTAGCATTCTTTTTAATTTTCTGGTTAGGCCCCTGTGCCGATTAAAATATGACTTAACACCAGGGTGCATCGCTTGGCACATTCTGTTCATCATGCGTTTACAAATGGTTGAAATAAGAACTTCCCCTAAATAATGTGGCCTGTGCTTGTGATTTTCAAAACTACCTTGGGCACAATATTGAATCCTGTCACCTCAAGGAAGGAAAAACATTTGAAGGTAGAATTGCTACCCTTTCTTGCTCTTAATAACATACTGTATCTGTAACACGAAAGGAAATTCAGAGGTTGGTTTTGCAATAAATAAATGCATGTGTAGTTCGCTATTTAAATTCAATGGACAATACCCCATGATGCTGGTGCTGTATGATAATGGATGATTTGTACATTCAAGAATCTGAATCACAAAGCTGCCCTGGAATTACACATAGTGGTTATAGACACATCTGTAAAAGAAAATACCAAAGGACAACCCGGTGTCATATAAAAACTATTTGCCGATAAATTTGCTTTTGATGGGCTACTAAAAATGGACACATCAGGCATAAAAGATGTGTGTGTCTATTACGTAGGCTAGCTTTATGAAGAATGACAAGCTTCCACTGGTACACTGAGATAAGAAACAGCTGTTGTTGGCGTCAGTACTGCTACAAGAAATGAAAAAATTCTGTGGCACACTTATGAGCACTACCACATATTTGATCAACTTTTGAATAGATGGAAGACCAGAATCATCTGGCAGCCCCAAATGAAATTGCCAACAACCCTTAAGAATCTCTTGAGAAGGAGCACTGAACCCAATTCCATAGAACTATCATCCAATTGTGTGTTATTTCTAAAGCAAGTAGTTCCAGTGTGTGTGTATGTGGTTATGCTGGAGCTGGGAAGGAATGAGGGGAGGCTGTTGTTATTTTCCTTTTTTTTTTGTTTTTTTTTTTTTAATCATGTCAAGGACATTTTTGAGTATAAAATTGTAGGGTTTCAAACAATGACTGCAAACCAGTTGCTTAGGTGAATTTATAAACTGTGAATCAAAGGGGAAAAACATCTTTCAGGAAAAAAAAATACACCGAATCTCACCATTGGACCTATTTGATGGCTACACGTAAGACCAAAGGCTTTTTAAAGGAAAATAAATGAACACTTAAGAACTGCAGTTACAAAAGCCTGAAATTTCATTTTGATCTAGAATTTATAATATTTTAAAAATTCTTTTAAAATATTTTCAGCTATTTAGTTCAAGCATATTCTGATAACTTCTCTGACATTTAATTGGAATTTTTCCCCTTTTAATGTAAACATATAAAGTCAATTCTAGATACCCTACGTAGGTCTTCCCATTAACTCAGCCAGGCAACACCGATTTTCCTCTGTCTCTTGCTGCTTGGCAGTTGTTTCTTTCAGACCGAAATCCCCTAAGCCAGGCCAGGCAGCCAGCAGCCCTCTCCAGCACACTTCTTTCTGAGAGACGCCTAAGAATAGTGTACGAAATCCATAGTGATACTTCTGCTGTCAGAGGATGGTCTAGCATCCTCCAAATTAGAAAGAATTTCTGGACCACTAGAATGACTTAAAAAAAAAAAAAAAAACCTGGAAAGATATAATAAGAGAAATTGTGAGGCCTCAGCCCATAGAGACCTTTAAGGAAAGAATAGCCATTCTTTTCTCATTTTAGGTATTCACAGGCTTGGCATTCACAGCTAGTGAGGGCTGGACCAAGAGCTCTCTGGAGTTCTCTTCTTCCTTTTATGATGCTGGCATTTTAAGAAGAAGGTACACTGAGCAGCCAGGAGCTATAATTTCTGACTCTCCATCATGTTTCCTGCTATAGAGGGCTAGCTTTTTAATATTTCCATAACAACAGACTTTGACCAGATAGGTCAGGAAGTCTAGCCCACGTTTTGTTTGTTTGTTTGTTCTTCAGATGGAGTTTCGCTCTTGTCACCCAGGCTGGAGTGCAGTGGTGCGATCTCAGCTCACTGCATCCTTTGCCTCCTGGGTTCAAGCGATTTTCCTGCTTCAGTCTCCTGAGTAACTGAGATTACAGGCGCCCACCACCGCGCCTGGCTAATTTTTTTGTATTTTTAGTAGAGATGGGGTTTTGTCATGTTGGCCAGGCTGGTCTCAAACTCCCGACCTCAGGTGATCTGCCTGCCTCAGCGTCCCAAAGTGTTGGGATTACAGGTGTGAGCCACCATGCCTGGCCTTAGTCCATAATTTTAAATCAGATCTTATTTACTCTGTGAACTTGTTTGGACAGGAGAGCTGTATCCTACAGAAGAAAAAAGGAAAAGAGGAGAGTTGGGAAGAGAATGAAAAAGGCAAAGATGGAAAGGGAAGCAGGGAAGGCAGAAGGAAGGGAAAAAAAAGGAACAGAGAAAGAAGGACAGAGAGAAATTGAAAGTCGGGGACTACTTCGAAACAGCAGCTAAATGTCTTCTTTCTCCATATTAAAAATTTCCATCTGCCAAAATGAAAAAGCATAATTAGCAGCCAAATACAAATCCGTTTCCTATATTGTTTAAATGACATATTTCCAAGGTACAAAACAGCATGTCTGGTTAAAGGTTGGGTGATTTGATCCCTCTATTACTCTATATAAAACAAAGAAGCTGGAGTTTCATTACCCTTAAATTGTCTGGCAGTAGGTGAAGTTAACTTTTATTAGAAGCTGTTCTTTCATATTATACAGTGTAGTCAAGGATATATTAGCTTTGACGTTTTCTTACATCTCAATACACTGCGGAGTGAATGTACTGTGAGACTAATTTAAAAGGGAGTTTTTCATAAGAGGAAATAATGGTCAGCATCAGCTGTGCTTCAAATTATTAGCAGAATGAAAATTCAGGGAAAAAAGTATAGACACATAAAATTGCTAGATGTTAATAAGAATGCTGCTTTTATTTCTGTTTCTGATAATAGTCTGTGTTTCTTAAAGCTCCAGTGTCTTAAAACTATATTCAGGAGGAAGATTATGTTGTTGAGGAAACGTTATAGTGCCTCCTCAACAAGATTATTTTGTCTTAAAGAAAGAAAAAAAAATCAGATCAAACAGTATATAAAATATATTTGTAGAGGTTCAGCTTTAGGGAAGAAATCCTACAACTTAAGTCTGAAAAAAAAAAAAAAACTGCAAAGATCATTCATTTGACCAATACACAGTGAAGTCATAATAAAACAAATTCCTAGTATGTGAAATGAAATTTCACCTAGAGGATTCATCACTCATAACAAAAGTCTTCTTATTACACTCTGATATCAGTAACCATTCCCTCTTTTGGTCACCTTTTCTAATAAGATCACACTAGTCAGCTGACATTTTGAGGCCCCAAATTAAGAATCTATTTGGTAAGTGAATTTGGATTCTCTTTAAACCAAAAAAGAGAAAAACAAGCATATCAGAGGGATAAGCATATTACTTTAGCTTCAATAACTTAGAATGTAAATATATCACACAGGGATATTTCAGCTACTGAAATAATAAAATCCAGTCAATCAAATAGTAAAAAATATTGAGAACCAGCAACAGAAAGTATTATTTAAAAAAAAAAAAAAAAGCACTCAAGGGAGACACATACAAGACACCCCGTCAGTCTACTCATTCAGTTTCTTATCTGTTCTATAGGTTTAGCAGTGGAAAGGTTTGTGGGTTTTTTTTTTTTTCCTTTACATTTATCTTTGTGCCTGAATGAGTTCAATTTCTCTTAGATTAGGACAGAAATTTCAGAACAGCAGGTTAATCCGTCCTGTCTTCATGGGCAGCTGAGCAAACAGACCAGTATCAGTGTAAAATTGTAATTCTGGAGATTAATGTTGTCTTTCCTGTTTGCGATGAATTTGACCTTCTTGCCTTTCTTTTTTTCCTCCCTCCTTTCCAGCATCTGTCCAGGGTCCCTGGGAGAGAGCCATCTCGCCAAACAAAGTGCCCTACTATATCAAGTAAGTTGGAAGTATCACATTTTTAAAGGAGCATTTATTGTGACTAATCTGTATATTCACAAGTGAGTTTATTTTTAAAATGTGACACTAGCCTGGCCTACAATACCTATTTCTTTTTTTTTCCTGAGGAAGCTTGGATAAAAAACTTATTCTAAAATTACCATTGTAAATTTGCTGATGCAATGGGGAACCACTTTTAAGAAAAGTTTATTTAATGTGGGATATATGGTGTGTTTTGTGACAGAGGGGGCGGATTTTTCACAATAGAACAAAAAGCTCCAGATAATTTTATTGATAGTGGGAGTCAATCTTTGCAAGAACCATTTCATTTATTTGGGGGTTTTCTCACATTTCTCCTTCAGTCAAAGGTAGAAGATTTCCACAGTTATATGTACACAACTGTTTTGGGTGAATGAATACTTCATGTTTCGAAAAGGCAGAAAGCAGCAGTCCTCGACTTGTAGGGCTTACTTGTTCATCTTGATACATAATACTCAGTATTTGTCACCTAACAACAACAGAATGATACTGTTTTCTGGAAACATTTGTGCCAGTCAAAAGAATATGGGTGCTTGGAAGCACCTTCTGTCGTATTTTGCATGAAATATAAGTGACAATACATTGGGTCAACATGGAAGAGAAAGGAGAGAGGATATTGAGTGATTACGATACCTTCACAGTCTCTCATCCATTGTACAGTAGAGTCTTACTTAAATTTAACTTTGAATTGGAAACCTCAGCAACAATTATAATTTACTGGGTTCATAAAATAGTCTTCAATACCAACTGAAGTCTTTGAACTTGCTTCTGCCATGAGTCTGACTAAAAATATTATATGTTTTCCCATTTTTGTCCGCCTGCCATCTTTTATTGAATCTGTTTTTATTCTTTCACTGCCCATCAATTCTTCTTAATTCAGTTCTAAAGCAATAACAGCAGTCCTAGATCTTCATTACTACAGTCCTCAAGAAATTTGATTTTATGCCCCTATTTTGTTAACTCAGAAAAATGGGAGTGAAGGTAGTCTTTTGACTCTTTCAGGAGAGATACGTACTTTAGGAAATGGTTTACCATTTGTCTTATTACATTTTTCCAGATGAGGTATCTCTTAACTTGAAAATTCTTTTTTAGTATGCTTTGGTTCTGCTTTTTAGTTTTCTTATTTTCTGAATTTAATTTTATTATTTTTGTTATATTTAATTCATTAATTTAGTCACTCAAAATTATACATTTTAAATACCTATTTAAATCACATGCTTTATTAAATAATATATTGATGTGGACATGCACTGTATTACCTTATATCCACTGTATATTTTATGGAACAATTTTCTTCAAACTCTAGACAGTGATTTTCTACATCAGTGTCTTTGTCCTCACAAATTTTTATTTCTGACTAACATGTTTGAAACCTGCTACTTCTTCAACCAATTCATAAAGCTCTCACTTTTATCCAATTCCTTTATGAACTGAAATAAAGACTCTTCTCCTTTCATAGATGAGGTTTTAGGATCACTGGAGAATTCAAGACACCTTTAAGCTATTATTCTCCAAATGACTACTTGTTTGGGGCTCACTAGAAGTCTCACATGGATTTCTAGGGTCTCCCTGGTCCCATTGTCCTTTCCCTATATATTCATCTTCTTTTCCCTGATGTTACTTCTACTACAAGAGATCCCAGTACATTGCTGTGGGGGAACGGAAATAAAAAAGAGACAAATTCCGGAAAAGCTGTAATTCCCTTCTGTGTATTAGTGTCTTGCTGTTTCTCAGTGGAATTAGAGAGCAGCTACATATCCAATTTGTTTAATGCTCCTTCATGTACCTAAAGACCATGGTGATGGTATTGATAAGGGCACAGATCTGTGAAAAAGAAAACTTATTATTATTTTAGTTCTCCAGTCTAATCTTAAAGGCTCTGTCATTAGGTGATTGTATGGCTTTAGGCAAGTCACTTAACCTATAAAAATCTTGGTTTCTTGTTTTTTTTTTTTTTTTTTTTTTTTTGAGATGGAGTTGCACTCTGTTGCCCAGGCTGGAGTGCAGTAACCCGACCTCAGCTCACTGCAACCCCTGCCCCCTGGGTTCAAGCAATTCTCCCATTTTAGCTCCCGAGTAGCTGGGACTACAGGCACCTGCCACCACCCTTGGCTAATTTTTGTATTTTTAGTAGAGACGAGGTTTCACCATATTGGTCAGGCTGGTCTCGAACTCCTGACCTCAGGTGATCCACCCGCCTCGGCCTCTCAAAGTGCTGGGATTACAGGCTTGAGCCACCGTGCCCAGCCAAACCTTGGTTTCTAGTTCATAAAATAGAGAGTTGGACTAGATGATATCTAAGATCCTTTTTATCTCTAAGACTTAATGAGTATGACTCATTCAGTTGTCCTGTCCAAACTTAAAAACCTAAGATCTCAGCTTTTGTTCGATAATATCTTTATTTTTAAGATTCATTATTTTAATGAACATAATGCAAATTGTTACTTTAAAAAATAGGAATTTTATTTTTCCACTGTTTAATTAGCTTTAGATATGCCCTGTCAACCCACTCCAATTTCACCACACCTCTTTAAAGAACTCAAATCTTGGTATATAATTTAGGACTATTATACTTCCTGGCTCATGATAAGAGAGAGAGAAAAATAGGTAGGACAAATTTGCAGAAAGGTGAGTATGGAGACCTTAAAAGCCTCTGAAATAATCAGTTCCTTGGAATGAGGAAATTACGTAATTTCTCAAAAATATCTCTGAAACCTTATGGAGAGCAATTCTCTCTACAACTATAAATCTGTTTGAAATTAGGGATGATATAATTTCTCAAATATAAGTGTAAAATGTTAAACTGTAATATAGGGAAAACACATGTTTATAAAATGAACATTGTCAGTAAGCAGATGATTAATGGCACTTGTGTCTTATTAGCCATTACTATTATCTAAAATTTTCTATTGAAAGCAAATTAATTTGATGTACAAGGTTCAGTGGACTTTATGCACAGCTTAATGCCATTCATAATCTGACATGCCGTATTGGTCTAAAAAGAACAAAAATAAGTTTACAGTGACAATGCTTCAACCAGTCCTCGTTTTTCCTCTTTCTTATCTTGTTTGTCTTGACTTCCAGTCAAGAGTTTTTACCATAGATGCCCAGCTGCAAAACCAGGTGTCTTCTCTGGCTATGTTTTCAATGCTTTATAACTTTTTCTTTTCAATGCTGGGATAAAGGGATCGCCCACATAACAAGAGGTTTCTATACCAATAGCACAGTTCCTTTTGGTTGTTGAATTGTGCACTCATTCTTGAGATTTTAAGTCATTAACATCTTTTGCTCTAGTTTGCAAATCAGGCAGTGTTTATGCCTGCATCCTGACATCAGCTTTTCATATGATGCTAAGAACCTTGATTTTGATACTTCAAACTACATGTTTGTCTAGTTTATTTGTCCACAGCATACATCATTGTTACAGTTTTCATATTCCCTCTCCCTTGGGGCTCCCTTATTCCTGCCAGCATCTCTTTCAGGTTATTTGATTACAGCTTTCATTGCCACTGAAAAAATAATCACCAACAATGTTCAACCTGTTACAACTGCCTTTTCTACTCTTTGCCATGTTGTAGTTTTTTGGCCTACTGTCAAACTCATGAAAATTTCAATATAATAGCCTTTAACCAGCTGCTGCATTCTGTTAGGATTTCTTTCACCTTTTTATGTTGCATGTTCCCATATGGGTAAACCAAACAGAGCCAAGAACTGGGGCTCTCTTGCTTTCTTAATGAGTTAGAAAATTGTTCGTCTGTGTTCTGGACTGTCAAAAGAATTTAGGAATCTCAAACATGCATGCAGGATGTTCCCGCATAGATGTCATAATAAAAGCATAAGAAATACCACACTGGGTCAGACTAACAGGACAACTAGCCCAGAACTCTGTCCTAGACGAAGATACCAACGGTTGTTTTGTCAGGTAACCTAGTGCATTTTACCTAAAAAATTCAGGTACATCATGACCACGTCTTAATAATGCATTGTAAATCAACTGGCAGTGAGTTTATCCAATGGTGTCAAGCTTTTCCTATTCCCCACTTCAGTTTTGTCTTAATAATAATACGTTCCATAAATGTACCAACTTCTATATAAATATAGGCATTTCAATTTCTCTTGAATCTGCATCCTTTGACCTCAAGGAATGGCCTCAATTAAATTCTTTGAAATTCAGCAAAGACATTTATTTTTGTCCAGAGTCGACTTTAGCCTCACATCCCCCCACTAATGCTTTTCATTTTCATCTTCCCAGTCTGAGAAATTCTAATCCTTTTTAGTCTTTTAGTCTGTCCTTGACTGAAAGATAAGCTTTCCCCTTGATTATCTTAGTTGTTTTTCCCTGGATCTTTTCCAGCTCTGTTATATCTTCTTTGGGATGTCGTGACTAGACTGGCCCAAATATCGGTTATGAAATTTGTTAGCATCGTCTCTAGTTTCCACTCACTCATGAAGAAAGTAAATGTTATTTGCTGTCTCCCATTGGTGCAGAAATGGAGAGATCAATTGAGGTCATAACCTCTTCTACATATATTAGTTCTAGCCAGAGGTTGGTTTTCTGCTACTTTTCTGTAATACCAGCTGAAGTGTTTGACCTTATATTTCTGCCTGCTGTCCCTTAGGAAGGATTTGATTTTTAGTCAAGCTGGTCCTTTCCTCCTTCAAAGACGCTGTGGTTGCTAAATATTGGGAAGAATTCACTAATGAAACTCAGGAGTAAACCTGCTGACTCAATCAGCAGTAATGCATTTCATCAGGTTCCCTTTTGAAATATCTCTGAAGCCCTTCACAGAAGAGTGAAAGATGAGGTTCTTGGAAACTTGCTAACTGTTCGGCTTTTTTTTTACATGCAATGCTCAAAAAGCAACTCATGTCCAAAGGAGTGTTTATCTTTTCCTGCTGGTAATTTTGAATGTTGTATATACGTTGCTGTATATGTTGCCTGATGACCTTGATCGACCCTT